GAGAGAGAGAGAGAGAGAGAGAGAGAGAGAGAGAGAGAGAGAGAGAGAGAGAGAGAGAGAGAGAGAGAGAGAGAGAGAGAGAACAGACCAGTGATCGCACAATTATGTGTTTGTCCCTTCAGGCCTGTCTATTTGGTCTTCGGGGTCTCAGATACTACGATTCACAGTAAGGCCAATAGCCACATACAGGCAGTTCTAAGAAATGTCGACATGTTGCATCACTGCATTGATTTGATAACACAGAAGACTGAGAAGATCACAGTGAATTGAGTGGGCAATGAGCATAGCAAAAGTTCAGTCGAACTCAGACTCAAACCCATCAACCTACTGAGCACATACATACAAGAGGCCCAGGAATGACCACAAATCACCATGCATATATTACGAGCGAGATCCCACTAACAAAGAGTATTGGACTAAATGCCCGAATGTTGACATGTTTGTGGAAAGGTGCAGAATATTGCTATCCATCTGCTTCTCTGCATCTCTGCTTAAAACCCATCCAGATTCAGGTGCTTGATTCATTCTTCTTTGCCAGTGGAATCTCGCCCTACCTCCATCTGTTTGTTTGGTCTGTGCTAGTTACAGCTTTTCTACTTTTACTCTGCCTATATTTTACCTGTGGGGAGAGCGATCGCTATGCTATTCAGGCTAGCACAGAAATGCATGCCCTGGTACCTGGCCCAGCACTTCATCTCCTCTGCATTTGACCACTGTTCCCGTCTTCCCCCGAATAGAACTTACGGAAGTTACGGTCATTATAGCTATATATTAAGCATATATATTTAGGGCAACTTCCATTCTAGATACAGGCATAACGACTTATATATATGTTCTATTTCAGCGGGGAGTCGGAGACGGTTGCTTTCGATGCAAGTGTGCAATTGGTTGCTGGAATCCACAGAGCCTTAGAGAGAGCAATCTGGGAGGTAGGTATGGACAGAGTGAAGGGACGGTTGGGAGAATCGTGATGATGTGATCGGTTCAGCAGTATTCTAGCTTGATCTGTGCTGCCGTTGATTTCGAGATGTCGCAATAAAGCTGCTGAGTCAGCGCGGATGAGTCCTGATGACATGCAAATTTTATTGAGGTGGCCAGAGTTGGATGAAGTTTTGTCTTACCTCAGCGTCATTTGGCTATGATGCAGGAAATGCTGAGCAAAAGCAAGTACCCGAATAGGATTAAGTATTTGCAGACCATGGTGGAATGCCTTTCCCTTTCTGGAAAGATCTCAACCGGTGGATCGATGATAAGGTGCGAGATGGAGAACGGGCAACATGCTTTCCTTTCTTTCCCTTCTTTTCTTTTTTTTTTTCCCGTTCTTTTTCTTTTCATTTCGAAAGGGCGACAACTTTCAGATGTTGTCATCATTGAACTGACCGGCCCGAGGTAAATTTTCACTCGTCTGATTTCCATCGGAACTTCGAATTGAGGTCTGTATTTGAACAGTTGATGCGTGTAGCAAGTACCACCAACTGAGCTAGCTAGGCCACTTGGTTTTCATACGTGTCTCGATGTGCGTAGCATTCGGCCGCTAGGCATGTTGGTGATTCTGTTTGCCCAAAAAGAGAAGCATGCCCTTTGATTTCACTGGTCGAACCTGGTCGCGCTGTAATTCCAGGTTACGTGACTTTCTGGTTCCCACGTCCCAAATCTGCAATCCACCTGTCCAGCTAATCTGGACAAGGCGCAAGGCGTCCAGGCACGGGATGACATCTCCTTATCCAAGGATTGATATATTACTATACTCAATTGTTCAACTACTTTTTTTTTTTTTTTTAATTCCTACCTGCGACTGCCGGTGTTTCAAAAAAAAAAGGGAAAAAAACATCAACTACATATAGTCTACAATGACTCTACATTGTTACTAATAATAGCTCCGAATTTTTGAAGTCTAAACTACTCAGCATATGTCAAAAAAGCGCGTAAATCCAAGCTTGCTTCCGGGACCATTTTTGTTCTTTGTGGGGGAGTATGAGGAGGGGTTTCAAATGGGTTTAGGGACCATGTTTGGTCTTCGTGGGGGAGTATGAGGAGGGGTTTCAAATGGGTTTAGGGACCATGTTTGGTCTTCGTGGGGGAGTATGGGGAGGGGTTTCAAATGGGTTTAGGGACCATGTTTGGTCATCATGGGGGAATATGAGGAGGGGTTTCAAATGGGTTTCAGAAGGGTGTACCATGAAGTTGAAGCAGGTTTAACTGATTTGAAGGGGTGTTTCATGGAGGGGAATAAACTTCAATAAACTTGAATAAAGGGGTTCAAGGGGTTGAACTTGTAAAGGTCATTGCACTGATGATTGCAGACTTTTTCATTTTCTTGTTCCCTTCGTTACGCTTGAATTCAATTTCGGAGTCAACTCCTTAGGCAAAACTTGCCCACGTTTTTCACCCGTGTCATCCTTGCGCAGGGGCCATGCTAATCTTCTTTCTCTGTATCGTTCGAATTTTAACGGATGTCCCGAAGGATACTTGCAACTTGTTCACTTTTCTTTTTTTTTCTTCCAGAAAAGTATGGAGCTTAGGAAACACTACGTAATGCGCACATGGTTCTCTTGTGGGGACATTTTTTTGAAAGAATCATGATTGTTTCTTTTTTGAAGTTTTTTTTTTTTTTTTCAATGTTTGTTTGTTTGTTTTTTTTTTTTTTTTTTTTTTTTTTTTTTTTTTTGATGCGGGTGACCAGTTTTGTAAGAAAGAAGCTTAAACAAAAACAAAAACAAAAACAAAAACAACCAATCAAACAAACTCATTTTTGGAGTGGAAACAAGTGACTGAAGGGTACAGGATAAGTTCTTTTATTTTATTTTTTAACTCAAAAAGAAAAGAAAAGGGGCAACGGCCTTGAGATATCATCTTTTACCTTATAGGCCCCTGGTAATTCAGAACGATTATATCCTGGTCATTTGATTGTATATCTGGATTCAAACTTGGGTCTGTATATCTGGATTTGAACTTGGGTGTGTATTTTTTTCGACAGTTTGTGGGTGTACCAAACGACTGGCCAACTGAGGTGGAGCCAGTCGGTTACAGGGTAAGGTTTGTGATTTGGCAGGAAAGCTGGAGAGGTAAACTAAGGGTCATATTTCAGGTGGAGTTTTTTTGGATATGCTCGCTCGTGCCGTATGTGTGCTTCTGTTTTTTACTTTGTTTTTTTCTTTTTTTATGTGTGCTTCTTGCTTGGTGTGTGAGCAGTGAAAGTCTGAGGCAGGAAGTGAGAGAGGTGATAGCATCAGTGGTTGATGCGAAGGCGGCATCCTTGGATGCAGCAAGGCCGCGGATTGACCAAATGGCATCACAAATGAGTACCCGAGCCGGTGGAGTGGGCGGTTTCGGCACGTTAGCAGGGCTTGCTCCACAGTCTAGGAGAGGTGTGAGGGGGCATTACTCTGCGATGCTGCCAACGAAACCTGGAAGCTCCTACGCTGTGCGACAGATCAACTTCCTGGCAGTCTCGTCTGCAGTATCGTCCTACCATCCGATGGAGGCGACATTGGCGGCTGCTCAAGATCTTTTGGAAAGCGTCTTCACGGCGTGTCTGCACGTCTTGGGTACCCGCCTCCTGTGCCTCCCACTCTCTCTCACCCATCTTTCCTCGCCACGACTCACTTTCCCCCCTCAGACATTGAAGTACTTTTTCGGCCAGTGGTCGGCAACCGCGACTCCTAACAGTCCCTGACACATCGTGTTGACGACTCTGATTCTTATGTCAGTCCCTGACACATCGTGTTGACGACTCTGATTCTTATGTCACATTGACAAGTCCGATACTGTGGTCTGGCTCTTCTAAGGAAATCGACCGGCAATATTTTTCCTCTCAATATACATCCCACTACCTGGCTAGCTAGGAATGATACACACTTTGACCCTACCCTCGAGCGGCAAGCTACACTAAGGGTTATGGGTTGAGCCTATCCCCTCAGGGTTGAACCTAACCCCTGGCAACGGGGGTGGCATTCCCTACCAACCAAACAGGTGGGACAAGCTGACTAGCTCAGCTGGTGAGCGCGCAGCGCGTTTCAGGAGGTGTGGGTGCTCGATTGGGGACTCTGGTGAATCAAACCCACAACCTCCTGAATGCCGCTTTCGTGCTCTACCAACTGAGCAAGCCCGCTTGGCTTTAATCAACTGGCAATAATTAGGCATGCATGAACAATTGTGACCCCGTTTCCTATTTTGGGGGCTGATTTTATGGACAATAACTTCTCTGCATGCACAGCCACCGCAGAGTCATCTGTGCAACCCAATCCAATTTCAAAAAAAGTTTTCAATGCATCACTGTCTTCTGGAAAGCAATATTGGTGGCACATGTGATCTTCCAGATGAATCCACTGTCTAATGGCCTGGCCTGACTGTGGTGAAGGACTGACAGTCTTTTTTTTTTAAGTTTTTTCTTTTCTTTTTGTTGTACTGACACTCGTTACTCGCCCGTAACTGCAGAACTGATAGTGGAAAGCTTTCAGCCATTTGTTTTTTTCTCCCCCCATTTTACTTCCATATGGATTGGAATTTGGAACTCAGGTCTGTATTTCAACAATTCATTGGTGTACCAACTCAGCTAGGCCAGTTCGGCCATTCCTACCGAGTCCCAATTTCAGTTGAATCCCTGATGCGGATGCTTGGTAAGTGTCAACAGGGAGAGGGTGGAGGGGGGGGAGATAAGTGATCAAGTGTGTTGCAGCAGAACTTTCACTATACGATCCTTGATGGCCCTCAGCTGATCATCTTGGGGTGTGAGGTTATTAGTGAGGAATGATCTGTCCTTGGAGTGTCAAAGGTAATCTCTGATCAGTAGTAATTTAGTAAACACCCATCTCTAAACCGTGTTTCATCTGATTTATGTCTGAATATATAATGCGAAAGAATATATTCAATATAAACTATGTTGGGCCGTCGCCCGGCCCGGCACGCCCGGCCAGGCACACCCGGGCCAGGGGGTCGCCCGGCAAAACCAGACGGGCCAAAAAAGAGGCGAGGATCCCAAAAAAAAAAAAAAAGGACTTCAGGCCAGGACTGCGCTTGGCCCAAGCAGTCAGAATCCGGTCTTAACTTCGGTTTTGGTGATGGGTCATCCAGGGGGGGTTGGGGGGTATAAACAGTGACTAAAGGGCATAAAAGGGCACATGTTTGGAGTCTTTTGGGACTCATGTTTTCTCATTTATTGGGTCTGATGTTTTCTCATTTATTTTTTATCTTGAAATTAACAAGGAATTTCGAGGTGGCCCTCAGCCAAAAGTCGTTTGTATTGCAATTTTACACAACATATTTTTTTTTCTGATTTTTTTAATTTTTTTTTTATTTTCTATTTGTTAAAATATTATGCGCTGGGATCGCCCGGGACCCTGCCCGGGCCCTGCCTGGTCCGGGCCGGGGAGGGTACCCGGGCGACCTTCCCCCAGCTGGGCCGCCCGGGGACTAACACAGAATATAAATGAATTCAAAAGCTTAACAGCAGGACATGCTGTTGGTGTGGCTCATGCTGGTGTCTGTGCTGAATGCAGAGAATCATGTCATAGTTGGAGAAATGATGGATGCGAAGCTACACGCAGGTGGTGTGCAGATCCAAGGGCCTGGGGTTGACAAGACAGCATCGGACGAAGATGGGAGTCCCCATTTGGGAGGGTACAGCATTCCGTTTGTGTGGTCGTGCTTGCAAAGTGAGCTGCATCAGTTGCTGTGCGACATGCTGAGAGTGTCGCCGGATGCAACACAATTGCCGGGTCTAGGGGGCCAAGGAGGCGGTGGAGATCACTCGAGAGAAAAGGGTGGTCTTGGGGGGGTCCTCAACAGACGGAGGGAGAGGGAAAACAGTATGACGAAGGACTTGGAAGATCGTGCTCAGCAAGGGGGTGAGGACGGTGAGCTGTCTTTTGCGTTCCGCTTCATGGATATGACCTTGGCTCTTTCGGGAAGTAAAGATGGCGTCGGAAGTTTGGTGGGAGGCGGGGTATCAGCAGCAATGGCCATGGGTAAGGGTGGGAGGCATGGCGACCTCGCTTCGTCTGCAGCGGACGGATATGGTATTGCGACGGCGTTGCCGGAACGGGGAATCTACCTGACATCTGCAATCTACAGGCCTTTGCTCGAGTTCACCGGGAAAGCTGCATCGGTGTTGCCTACTCGTTATGTCACTGGGACAAAGGGGGAACAGTCGCAAGGCAGTGGGCTTGTGAAGGGGGGGCCGTCTACAGAGATGCTGCGCACGTTTGTGGAAATCTATGTGCGAGAAACGTATCTCCCGAGAGTGCGGTTGGATTACCAGGCAAAGCTTGCAGACGCATTGTCGAGCCCTGCTGCTCTTAGACCGAGGGCGAAGTCTTTGGGCACCTACGAAAAGGATGTGGACAAGGGAAGGGGTGTTCTGCAGGCAGTCTTGATCGCGGAGTCTTTGATCTCTGAGGTGCTGCTGTGGGGAAGCACTATGCCCATGTTTGCAGGTGAAGTGCCTTAACGGTCATTAATGCCTGTTTTTCCTTCTTGAAAAGGGCGCTGGCCCCTATCTATCTTTATGGTATCCATTTGATTCCACGAGGATTTGAACTCATGACCTGTTTATTCCAGTCGATGTGTGTGTCATTCAGCTCATATGGCCGGGTCCCCTCCGCCTTGATATGTGTCCCTTCCTCTGTTGCCATCGTTTTCTTGCTTTACAGGTATGTATGCAGGGGGATTTTTTTTTTCTTTCAATCGGTCATGACGAATGTGTCTGCCCGGGCCGAAGGAGACCATGCAGAAGCGCTACAGAATTATTACGAGGCTATGAGATCAGAAATTGGTCCTTGCTCAGTTAGTTTCGCGTGCAAGTGGCGTTCAGGAGGTTGTGGGTTCCATCCCTCATGCCGCCTGGGGCGTGCTTGGTGTTCATCAGCTGAGGTAGTTGGTGTGCCCCCTATGGTCGGCCTTGATAGGGTCTTGGAATCTCTCGGAGGGCCTTCGCCCCTGCCATTCCTCGCTGGGGGTTAGCTCCTAGGTCTAGTTGATCCTGGCTGTGCTTGGACATTGGTTTCCACGCTTAGACATGTATGTAGATAGCGTGAGGTATAATTGAGAGAAGAATATAGCTTAGTTAAGAAAAAAAAAGGATCCTTAGGGCTGGAGTTATACACTCTACAACATAGGACTGAATACATACCACCGTCCTGCGTAGCATCGTGTTCGTGTTCGGTGACCGAACCCGAACGTTCGCGGCCTAACACGAACGAGCGCCCAAACCCTCTGAATGCGAACATAAAAAATATTTAAAAAATATATAGTCGGTGAAACTCCGACAAAACAGTTTGTCACAGCCCCTCATTTGTTGTCCTCTTCTCCCTCTCTGCCTACGGTTTACCGGGCAGCGATGTTTGACTATTCAGCCTCCTGATGAGTCGGTGAAACTCCGACGAAACAGTTTGTCACAGCCCCTCGTTTGTTGTCCTCTTCTCTCTCTCTGCCTACGGTTTTACCGGGCAGTTCTGTTTGTGACGATATATATGTTATGTAAAATAATAATACAAACAACTTTTGCCTGGGAGGCATGTTCAAATTCTTAGCCAAGCTCGAGTTAACAATCAAAACCCCAAAACAAAAAATAATTTTTGTTTTGAAAAAAATCATTAAAAAAATTATGTTCGACCGAGAACACATTCGGCCGAACACCCGAACACGTTCGGTGTGCTACACAGCTACTGTCTTCATCTGAATACAACGTACGGTACTACGGTCGCTATTGCTGTATATCTAGACTGAAAGATACCCCATATACAGGATATTGCGAGGGTGTACCCCTCGGCATAAGGCCCTGCAGCAGGCATGTGCCCACCCTAAGTGAAGGCGGGCCTCCTGAATCTCAATGTGCCCTGAACTCGTCAATTTTTGCAAATCTTGGTGGGCGTCAGACAGTTGCCATGCGCCAGTTGGTTACATCCGCTTTGCTCGTGAGAATTAGAAATATGCATGAGCCTTCCGGGCTCTTCTAGCAATGTGGTCGAAGCAGGGAGCACGGCACGTTTGTGCCTGGGTGGTTGGCCATGCCTAACCAATTCGGTCGCAGGCCACTGTCTGAACGGGCCTGTGCCCAGACACTTTGGCCGAGACTGAAGCTACTGGAAACGCAGTCTCACCGAGGAAGCAAGGGGAAAGCGCCCACCACTTTCCATATAGAAAGGGCCGGGGTCTGGGGAGGATATTCGGGCACTTGGTAGAGCGAGCGCTCGCGTGCTGCTGCTAGCGCCAGTGCAGAAGAGTGCGCGTGCGGTAACGCGTGGGAGAAGGGCGCTGCTGTGGGCAGCGCCATACCCAGCCCACGTAGCTGGGCTTGGGCTTGGACAGGCAGCGGGAGGTCACAGTAGTCTTCGTGTAAGAGGGAGAAGACATGGGTGATGAAGTCGAGGGTGAGAGAGAGAGAGATGAGGTTGATGATGTGAGGGCACATACCTGGTCTTGGCGATGGTCTACAAGGGTTGACATCTTTATGTACTTCGGTTCTGCTGCTGACGTGAACTGGATGCATTGTCAATTCGTAGGCTGTAGTAAGCTGTGTGATCGTAGTCTGGGCGCTGAGCACCAAGTAGGAGGAAGGACTCTGGATACATATGTCGGTGATGGCGAGACTATGCTCTCATTGACATTCGGATTCAGGGCTTTGGTTCTCCGTTGGTGGAATATCAGTGCATTTCTGCTTTCTGGACAGCGTTGGACTTGCTGGCTCTCAATGTGATTTTGCATTCTGGATCTCTGTCATTTCGCTCTCTCTCATTTTCCTTGCAATATTGACCGTACGTTGTGTTCGGGTGAAGAAGCTAGTAATGGAGAACTCTCCATGCAGAAGTACTTGTGATGATTGTCATTCCTTCCCCCTTCCTCCCCACCCCATACCACCCTGGGTCACTGATAAATAAACTTGTAAGAAGGCAGATCAAAATCAAAATGTCTGCGCTGGAAAATAAACCT